GTTGCGTAAAAAGGTTGTCTTTTGGATATAAAATTGAGTCCCTCTTGTATAGAGAGAAAGTGTCACATCATATTATGTTTTGTAATTTTTCAATACCTTATTGTTGCGTCTCAGGTTTCTCTGAAGAGACTTAATGTCCATTAATTAGTATGAATATACAAGTTTATCTTATATAGACAAATACAGATGACAAGAAAAGATATAAATCCTATACTACACTTAAACTTACCATAAATACAAGATATTGTATCTACCTTTCTCAAATATACAGATTACCATATACACCTTCCATAATAACCTGATAAACAATATTTCATACTTATGACTATTCATTTTACAAGGTTAGATTCACCGTGCATCTTCCATGTTTTACTGGTTAAAACCAATTGTAATTGATTCATCAACAAGCACAACGATTCAAAATGACAATCAAGTCTTGGTGTCTTAACATAAACATCGTGGTTACAAGAAAACAGCCAAGGAATCGGGCTCGGGTCAAGGTGATCATTGCTAGGTTTTCATAGCATTGTGTCTGAAGTTCTATTGTAACAATGTCAAAAAACAAAAACTAAAAACAAAAAAAAAATTATGATAACACCCATGAGCCTGACCCCTTCCTGTGCCTCAAACATCTTTACACATGCACCTGAGAGTCACATACATACATTACATGCATTTTGCATGCTCTGTGGAAGGAGCTTACTCTCCCCTTAGGTCAATAAACACGAGAGAAGAGGGTATTTCAACATGATCTCTTCTTTATTCTTCAATGTGGAACTAGTTCTGACTACTTCTCCGTGCAACAGCACTTTCCAAATACGACAGTTAGCAGAAATATTATTTTGAAATTATGCCTCATATTTTTAAAATAAAAATACTATCAGATGACCGGTTATTTAACAAAGGCACAGGAAAATTGTACAAGAGGGAATAGAAAGTTGGTCTTCTAGTTTAATATGTCAAATTCTCGGTATTGAATCCATCTCTAATCCATTTCCCATGGCCCACCCACAACAGGAGTAATCCCCCACCATACATAGTACAAATTTGATTAGCTAATTGGTCACATAGTATTAGTATATATATATATATATATATATTTTAAGTGGTTCAGAAATAGGAATCGAAGTTGAGATTGGCACCGCCCACCACTTATGCCCAAGCCCGATACCTCTAAATTACCTTTTCTATCTAACAAAAAGGCAACTCTAGTACTTTGAGATCTTGTTATTCCCGCACATTAAATGAGCAAGACAAGTGTTTGATTCTCTATTTTTAAGTAAAAATTTATCTGATGTACCTTATAGACATAGATTGTTATAGATTGGGGACAAATATTATCTTGAAATTACACATTGATGCGTCTGAACAAGTACTCTCATGACCAGTGTAAGAAAAAGCGAATCAAAAAGGTTAAATGGACGTGGGTCTGGAAGTGGTTCAACCAGCCTTACTGGTAAACTAGTCGGTTCAACTGCTCTAACCGGACTCTTCTTCGGGCATAAAAAAAGTGTTAAAAAGTTAAAAAAATATAAAAGAAATATACTAAAATATGAAAATCATATTTAAATAACGATTAAACAAAGCACATCCAAATGAAGTTAAAAATTAATGAAAAAAATAAAATTTGAAAAATCGATTTGGGCCCAGAAGTATTTTTAAAATTTTCTATATAAAGTGGAAAAATGTAAAATTAATACTAATAGCCAAAACAATTTCCAATTTTTGTTATAATGATGAAAGCATTAATAATATATTACGAACAATTTCTTTATTTTTTAGTGTTTTATATAATTTTCTTATTTTAAATATGTGATGAGTCACCAAAACCAGCCAAAACAGATTCAGTCAGTAGCCGGGTTTGATCTAACTGAACGGTTACAGGTTAAAATGGGCGATTTTTCCATCAATGCTTATGACCACGTAGCACAGAGCCCATGTGGTAATGGGAATTCATATGGAACACAACTAATGCCGTTAATCAACATATGCAATACAACTCAATCAAGAGTTGACGCTATCTATCTCTGTCTCTCCACGACATGGACATGGACATATTAACTCCTCTACGTGGTGGTGTTGGTCATCAGTATTTTATACGGTCGGTGCAAGTACTAGGAAGGATGTTAGATACTAGTATTTTTTCAGGGTCAACTGAGAAATTATTTGAATTCAAAATGGAACATCCCTTTTCAAGTGCCGTGTGCATTTGTCCACAATCAAAGAGTCCACGAAGACCCCGTCAATCAAGCTGACTGACTTAACTCAAATTTTTACTCAGAAGAGAGTTATTATTTTTATTATTATCATTATTATTATTACTATTATTATTATTTGAATCAAATTTTTAGGTATTTATAAATATGCTCGATTTGTATTATATTTCAAATTTAAAAATTCATAAATATAAATACAAATAAATTTTCAAACCATCTTAAAGTTTTCCATACTAGACCTTAATCTCCAAAACATATCATAGGTGCTCCATACTTGTACAGTACAAGAAGGATGCCTTAACCAAACCCCACCCAAAAGAAAACTCCATCATAATTTGTAGCGTATCATGTGAGGTATAATCAGTTAGCCCACAGTACGCCCGTCTTGCTAATTTGAAATGAGGTGTACTTCCATAAAATGTCATTTCCAATTCGGTTTCATGAAAGGGTGTTGTTTGTGTAAGGCCGAGGCCCAAAACAATCAAAGTAGGGCGCAGCTTCAAATAGCGTCTTGTTTACATATTAGAACGTTTTATGATGGC